TGCTCTTCTTCCCGGGGCTGCTCGGGCAGAGGTGGCGGCACAAAGGCAGCACCTCCGCGGGACAAAGCACTTGGCAGATCTGAGCGTCCCCTACGAGCCGTCTTCTCTGCGGGCTCCCCACCCACAGCAAGATGGCTCTTCTGACATCCTCACACACTCCCCCAGCGCTTTGATCCTTTAAGGGGCGAGACGGGAGGCTTTATTTACCCGCAGCTGGGTCTAGCACAGAGGCTGTTTCTTGGCTGCGAGCTCTTTGCTGCCACAAACGCCATGCGTGCGGGTAACAGAAGATGCCTCCTGTCTGCAGCACCCGGGCTCCGCTCAGAGAGCGGGAAGCAGAAACTGGAGGAAACTGAAACTCAATTATAATCACAGTATCGACGCTAAGAAACCTTTTAAAAAGAGCAGTCAGTAACTGGGCTACGCAAAATGCGTTTTGTGGTGCATATACCTGGGTTGCACAACCTGCTCAACTGTAACAGACCGAACACAGAGATGTGGATCTCAACTAGGAGGATAAAGAGATAAAATAAAAAAGAAACTTCAAAGCCTCTGGGCAAAATCTTTTTGGTTCCAGTGTAAGTGCTTAAGGGCCACATTCAGGCTCCATAACTCACAGAAATTATCATCCAACCCCAGAAGCAGTGCCACGGCAGAAATCAGGGAGGCTGCTTGCTGGTTTGATGCTGCTAACATTATCCAGTGTAGGGGCTAAATTCAGATAAGCATTTTCATAACCGAGTTTTTAAAAGTCTTGGCTTTCCATGGCCAAAAGCAGGGTTCACAGGTATGATATACGTAGGGACTCGTTCTTAAAAGCACGGACTCCTGTCTGCCCCCATGAAATACAGGGAGAGGTTGTCATACCATCAACAGAAGGGTGTTAGACCAGGGCTAAGTGGTTTGAAAGCCCCGCTTATCTGCTGAGGCACAAGACAGAAGTGAGAGATGGTTCCTCCCAAGGGCAGCCTGCAGACTCCTTGTCAAATGCGGTCGCTGAGAATTCCTCAAGCTGTTTTGGATTGGTTTCTAAAGCAAACGCGAGTTTAAAAAGGTGCAAGGACTGAAGGGCAGTGTACGCTATGCTGAGGTCATCCTGCATTTTCTCCAGAACTAAAATTGAATTTAGGATCTTGGCAGAGAAGAAACATTTGCATTGGAAACTGGTTAATTTATGTGCTATTGCCCTGCTAGGGCTAAAGTAACAAACCCCTCATTGTGTGCCTCCTGCACCCCAACCCAATAAACTGCCTCTAAATAGCCTCCTTTCATTGCAAATCTGCTCCACCTACATTTGCGCTCAATGCTGGTTTTAAATGTTTAGCACTCGAAAATTTTCCGCATTTAGTGTATCCCCCCAGGGTATGGGCTGACAGAAGTACATATACAGGCCCCCACTGTTGACTAGAATACTGCAGGTGGCAATTACAGCATTTTGCACTAGTTCTCAGCTACATCATTAAAATAATTTCCAGAACAGTTGTCAGAAGGTTCAAAATTACAGCTCTTCTATCCAAAAGTTACAACGCTGAGCTTTGAAAGAGAATTGTTTGTGACAAAAGGTGTTATTTTCTCAAAGTCACCTAAAGACTATTCTTAAAGTTAGAACCAACTTTAATATATAATCATGGTTCTACCTGTGTTAATATTATCTCTCTTTTATATGTTGTTTTTATATTAAGAAATACGGTTACACCTTTAATTAGATTATTCAGCAGCTCATTTGGCATGTTAGTCAACAGACTTTGAAGAAAATATTATGTAGCCATATGACTCTGCATATATCAAGATTCAGTATCCTTTGCTTGAAACCCAACACTTTTAAGCCACAGAAGCTGTGCATATATGTACACAATATAGAAAATGTCCCACTAAATCAAAAACCATCACCTCCATTAATACAGACTAATACAAAATCAATACAAAATCCTACCCCGAAGGTCTTGACAAAATGAAAAGGTTGTCTAATTCCATATTCTAGACTTTATCTCCCGCATGATATTTTATTACCTATTTTATAAATATTAAACAATTAAGTTTAATATTTCAACTAAGAAACCAGGTTTAATGTACAGAGGTATTGCTTGGGGCAATGTCCTTCAACAATGCTCATACGTGGACATCTCTCACAGTCTAAATCACATATATTTTGAAATAACATTTCAGATTCACTCCTTTCCTAATGGAGGAGTTACATTTCAATATCTGAAAACCTACAAGAAATCTGTAAATAAAACCAGAACAACAGGCAGAGAAAAATTCAGCTTCTATTTAAAAAAAGACTGATTTCAGCTAATTGAATTGGATCTTGATCTTCAAAGGATGTTCAGGTAACTGAGATTTTCTTTTAACTAAAGAAACCCTGGGAGACATGGGGAAAGATGTTTCCTTTCATACTACATCATGTATTCCAGACACGTGTAGGTAAAGAGAAACGAGCTACATACTTATCTCTTGGAAACTCCCATTTTGGGTCTTCTGGCAATTCATATTCCGAGACTCCTGCCAGCATGGGGGCATCGGCAGTAGAGGACAGGCGAGTAGTTATCCTCACCAGAGGCGTGTTGGAATTCATGGAGGAGCTCGAGTCGGCCGACACCTGTTGTTGCAATACAAGATGCAAAAAGGAAAAAAAAAAAAAAAAAAAAAAGGCGGAGATGTAATCTCAACCCAATATCTGAAAAACAGCAGTACCTGATAACCAAGCCAGCTCAGAACAGTTGTATTAGCAACAAGTGGCCAAATCTACAGTTTTGTTTCTGTTCTCATACATTTACCCTCCCTCATAAGCACAATACTGACTCTAACTGCTGCCAAGGCTGTGAGTCTGTCCACTAGGTCGAAACCCATCTAAGTTTGAAATACATACACTCAGGAGATAAATTAAATAAATTTTTCCCTCTTTTTGTTCATCTAATTAATATGTTTTCAAACAACTGAGAGTACTTACACCACCACCCTCAGATACTTGCGTGAGCAGCTTATACTGTGAGCAGAGGTTACAATAAGCTCTCTTCTTCCACTCATTTCTAGTTGTCCCTGTCACCATTTTTTGCAAATCAGCACACAATTTGCTATTTTTTGGTTTTACTTGAATTGAAACAGAGATTTTCAATTTTTAATTGAGAAATGGTATTTTTGCAAAGGCTTCTGCACTTTTCATCGGTACCAATGATCAAAATCACATGCATATTACTGTGTAGGAAACGCTGAGTTCTCTCACATATTTTCTAAGCACTCAATATTGAAAGCATCAAAAAGCTATCATAATAATTGGGGGATATTCAAGTTTTTGGTTAACTACATTCTTAATTAAAGATTCTGCAGGCAATGTGGAGAAGAGCTCCTAAAAATAATTTAATTTCCAATGCTTTGAAACGTAATTCACTTTGGAGTATGCTTTCTCATTGGCCTCAACGACATTTTCCTTAGAGCATCACAGGTACTTAAGGATAACTGCTTTGATAAAGCAGTAGCTGTTCCATCCGTGGAACCAAACTTGTCTTGGTGTGAATGGTGTATCTCCCATAAGACACTTTCCTCAAACCTGCAAGCAGCAGCCTGCTGTCTGCTGACCTCAGAGTTTCCAGTGAACACAAACACAAACCAAAAATGCTTGAACTGCCACTCTGTCCCCTCCGTTAGTGTGAATCCTCCTTCTCTCTTCAGGCCACGACAGTCTTGGCCAAGCCCAAATCTGGTGGCCAAGGCAGGATGAAGGTTGCTTGGCAATGCCATCGCTGGTACCCGTCCCCACATTAGGCGGCAGGAGGTTCTTCTTGGCCAGCATTGTTGGGACCTGCCCAAGCTGGAAGCCTAGAGCATCACAGTAACTACCACTCTCGACCTTTGTCCTCATCACCTGGAGTCAACTTTGAGACCAGGTTGGCTTATGTAAAATGTCACCAGGCTACAATTCTGTTCCACATGTCTTATAACTAGATTAAAAAAAAAGCAGTTATAAGCAAACAGATCCTAATAGCATTAAAGTGCAAATCAGTGACACACAGTGATACGAACACAAAATCCTCTTCTCTCTATGACACCTGGTAAGTCCAACTTAGTACTCCCTTATATTAAGTCCAATTAACAATTACAGTGTCTCAGCCCACGGAATTACTCGAGCTCCTCAGAAGGGGGCCAAAACGCTTTTGCAACCAAGCCATGCTCTTCAACAACATATTTTGACAACAACAAGGCTAAGGCTCTCAAATTTCTTATCATGACGCCGACAGCCTGTGCTGGTTGAGAGGTCTTTTTGCAGGTCGACATCCTCAAACCCATCTCATCAAATGGGGTTGGCTTCTTGACACATTTTTCTAAGATCAGAGATTACAACTGGAAAGAGGTTTCATAAGGAAGAAAGCGTTAAGGACTGCTATCAGAAAATTAACCTTGGTAATCAGTATGGCGGCTGACTGCCAGACCTTTCTTGATATCAGAAGCTCCAGCTTCTGCATGAGAAATGTGGTATCTATGGAACAAGAGAGTATAACTGCCCAAATAAGGCTACCATTCAAATAAAAGAGGTGGACTGCTTTCCCCCTTGTCCATCCAACCATTGTTAATGTTTACTTTCAGCACATGTAAGTACCTGGCATAGTCCTCTAGGCTAATAAATACAGGGACCACTTGGGACACAAACAGAAATCTACTATTAAGGCAGACTGTATAGCTCTAAAAAAATCAGTAAGTGAATGCTGAAGAGGGTCCTTTGAGAGAGATGCTGCGATGCCCAGCCGAGAGGGGAACACACTCGCTGGAGCTGAACTGCTCACCCAGAGCTGCATGGCAGGTCAGCATGAGAACCCAGGCTGGAATTAGACTTTCACTTATTTTCTGCTCATTTTCATTATTTCAGTCCAGTTTAAAACTGATGCTTCGTGAAATGAACTAGCTTAGCACTAAGTAATGTGCAAATCTCCACAAACAATGTGGCAGTTCCTCTGTCCCCCAGGACTTCCCCTGAATTTAATTTCTCTTATTTCTGCTTTCCATTTTTAAATCTCTCTCACTGCAAACCTACTACTAACACTATGACCACTTCCTTCATGTTTCCAAAATCCCACCAACCATTCTACCAAGATCTTTATTCAAGCCCTGATTTATTTGTCTATTTATTTTTTAACATTGCCTTTTCTTTCTCACCTCCCTTTGTCATTAGAGCTATTGTTTTCATGGGAAATCAAGAAGGCATGGAAGTGAAACTGCAAAATTTAGATGTATGTATCAGAAATGGCCCAAAATGTTCTGCGGTCTTTTTTTTCCGTGCATACTATATTTGTATTAGACACTGTTCAGACCTCTGCCAGAGTTTCATCTTTTCGTTAGCTCTTACACTCACAATTCAGCAGTCTTAGCATGGCTAAAACCTATAAATGTAAACCTGCAATAAAGTGAAATACTCTGGTGATGCATTTCAAACACAGAAGTTTAATAGCAATAACGTATAGAAAAAACTTGAAAGACTCTACCGATTTCCCTTGTAACACAATTGCACGTGTTTACTTCGCACGATAACTGGATGATTGGCCAGAGGTGCTGGAAGTAACCAAAGTGCATTAACGTGGACAGGAATTATGAGAAATCCAGAGGAACTACTCAGTGTCTGGGAGAAGACAAACGGACTGCACTCCCAGGGAATATTCTTCTGACTAACTGGAGCAGTACAAGGAGTTACAGGAGCTCAAGGGCTATAAAAATTTCCTCCAGAAAAGATGAAGCCAACCCAGGCTGGCCTATGGTTGGAGGAGATTTTCTGTTTCAAAATAGCCTTTCACCTTTCCTGCAGTAGTAGAGAATTAACCTTTGAACTCATCCCTTAAGCATCTTTTTTCATTGGCTTAGAGTGCACCATAAAACAATGAAGAAAACCCTACCTACTTCAAGGTCAGTAGGCTTGGTCAACTTTAATCTACATGTATATATTTAAGCAACAGCATATATAGAAAGTGTTTTTCTGGCTTGCTACTTTCCCCTTTTCACCCGCAGCACTGGTCTCCAATCCCTTACCACGCAGGTTCAAGAACCAGTGACGCTCCTGCCATGAACCCCACCTTTCAGCGTGTGGAGTTGCTTTCAAGTATGTGGATGTTCTTCTGGCTTTTGGTTATGGAAAGATTCAAGGTACACAGGACACAGGCATAAAAGAGGCCACACTGAGGTTTTGCAGCAAGCTTGTAATTGTACATGGCCAATATACAGACTCCAGGGCCACTTTTGGGTCTACCAGGTGCCAAGAAGAGGCAACTGGACATCTAGTCGAAACATGTGAACTTCTTGGGCAACCACTGAGCTCACCAATACGGGCTTTTTGGAGACAAAGGAGCAAAGCAGAGCCAAGGCAAAGAAGCAAGGAAGGGCACCTGATGTAGGTGAATTAGACATCTTCAAGGTCTACTCACTGTGTTGGTGGAACCTGTTTTAAGTGCTGACACTACAGTAAGGAGGTATTTTGAGAGTTTAATTAAAGCAAGGAAGGCAGAAGTCAGTTTGACTTGAGCAGAACACTGAAAGGACTGTTGTGGTATACGTTAAGCTCAACAGGAACGCAGATCCCCACTATAAAATATCCTTTGTGTGCTTCCTTTCTGCTTTTAGGAAGCCAGAACCAAGAAAAGTACCAGCCTCAGACAGATCTTTAGCTCCATTATCTGCAGTCCAGAAGGAGAAAATCCCACTGTGTCCAAACCTCACGCACCAACACATTATTATATCCCCATTTTAACATCATCTTTTTCCTTCAGCCAACACACTGTATTTAATCAGCTCTGAGATAATGCTTTACAAGCATTTCTAAGCAGTGGAGCATTTAAAACAAACAAATCTTTGCTGGAATCTTTAAATGCCATGTGGCAAAATCAGCTGCAGAGCTGTGTGTAATTGTCTGTAATTGATTATGAAGGGTGTTTTCCTCCACTGATGATTTATACCATATCCCGAAGCCTAGATCTGTCAGTTCTGGCACTCATGCTGTGAGATTGTAGCAGCCATGCAGTGATTTCCTATAACTGTCAGTCTTTTTGAAGGCTCTGCTATAAAAGTTAATTTGAAGTCATATGCATATATGTAAATATAATTAGTAAGTAATGCTATTAGTTGTTGATAGAAATGGTCCATCGGAGTGACTGGATCTAGGAAAACAAGGTTAAATGCACAAAACATGGTTAAATACATGATGCTGAGAATTCCTAATGTAAGTGCTGGCATTTAAAACACAGGCACACAAGCACAACCCCTTCAAGAAAAGTGCTCCTTTTCAAACACTTCTGTAACAAGATAGCAAATGAGTACTACTAAGCAAGTCAACGGTTTCCATGTACCGAAATCCAATGATAACACAAGAGACTAAAATAACTATTGAGGCAAATGCCTTGCAACACATCCTACTGCAAGTTGTGTATTAATCTTTCTTTTCAGAGTCTATTCCTTAAAATGAATGCTATTTTTACAGCTCAATACTATGTGAAATACTATGTTACTTCAGTTGTTCCAGATTACTTTTCGGTTTTTTCAGGTTCCAGCTGCCATCATCATTTTGAATTAGCTATTTTGCTTGGTGAGCTTATGTCTTACCTTAAACCAATCAGTCTTTGCTCATCACAAATGTCCTCGCTATATCTTTACGAAGGATTAGAATCAACAACCACAGTAGATATAAATTAATGGGAATGTGTTTAAAATACTAAGCATAAGAAACCTTCCCCTGTTTAAGATGCATATGTACCCCCAAGTTGAGGGGGTCTGAATTCAACAGACTAACTGATAGCGCTAATTAAATGCTCTACTGATGACAAACACTTGTACTTGACTTTGGGCAAGTCATCACGAGAGATGGGACCTTCTAGAACCACTAGAGCAGCACTGACTTTTTGTCTGTTTTAATTATAATTTATTTTTTAAAAGAAAAAGAAAAAAGTTCGACAAAAGAGATGTATATCCTATCGAAGGCTACTCTTTACCTTTTGGTTCAGTGAACCTGTCACCCAAAGCCTATACCGCAAATCAGCTTGTGATGTTGAGTCCTGCAAATACTCCTTCCCTCTCCCTTGCGAGCTGGCACTGCTACGCAGAACGTGGCTAATACCAACAGAGCACTGCCGCTCTCTGCTTTAACACAAAGAAGAGGAACTGCTTGCTGGATTTCCCTGTAAGCAGTTTCCATTTCGAAAACCAAGCGGCAGATCCCAGTGAGACTGAGGATTGCAGGGGGAGGGAACTGATAATTCCTGACTTCATCGTGACCCTTCCTATGAATGTGAAAAGAACCACGTTTTGGCAGGAAAAAAATGCCTGCATGTGGGGAATGATAAAATCCTGTGGTAGCTCAGACTAAATAGTGTACGAGAATCCAGGCCTGCAAACCAAACCATATGTTAACTCGGCAAGACTCTTATCCCGCTTAGATGGGATGGCATCACCGTCATGCAAATGCCTCTTCGTGAACTGGGATTATTTTCACATCCAGATCCTTGGGGAGATCGACCCAGCAGCAGAGAGCTTCGAAAACAATATCAAGAATTCCCCAATCGATGGCCTCATTTCTCTGGAATTCCAACAAATCCCATCACCCAGCCCCAGATCTCAGCCCAGCTCCGTCTACCTGCCACGAGCGTCTCCCCTTGCTTGTTCTCACCCATCCTCTCAACAACTTGGCCACTTTATTCCTCCCTGGCACAGCACAAAGGCAAGGGAGAAGCTTCTGTAATCAATAGCTAAATAGAGGTTTAGTGACAAAACCGCACCAGGCTTTAAATACAATCCTCTGAGATACAAATAAACTGAAACAAAAAAGCAAGCCTGGAGGCAGAAGAAAACAAACCGAGTCGACTAACCCAGAAACACACACCCGTTAAATAAAACACCTCCTGACTTATTTTTTAATTCTTGTGACAATAATTCTGATAGCCAAAATCAGCTTTAAAAGATGCAGAAACTCAACTTCTGCAGCCTTAGAGACTGCCAACTGGAAAATTAAATCATCTTCACTGTTGATGAGCAAGTTTTCAGGGACTGCTCGTCTCGTCCTGCCTTTGCAAGCTAATCAATTAGTGATATGACCGGTGAAATCATCAAAACAGAAATACAGATTTCTTTTAACGCTTATAGTAGTTGTATTTTCCTCTATGAAGATACAACAGCAGAGAGCCCCTCAATGAGAAACTCCTGCTAATAAAAAAAGAACTCGGGAGAATTGAGAGTAGTGGAATTTTTGCTTAGGGTTTGAATTAGGATTCGCACTTTCAAATATACACTGGTTTTCAAAAAATTATTCCCCCTTTCAAAAGCAAAACGCCATTTTTGCTAAGAAAATCTAGAAAACCAAAATAAACTCATAAAACCCAATCTGACAAGCACGTTATAAGACAGAGATTTTTTTTTTTCCCTCTGTGAAAACAATAGCTTTGGAGAAGGTCCATATTGCATCATTTAATGATAAATAACTAAACTGAGGGCAGCAGTTGGCACTGCTGTCACACGCCATGAAATAACACTTTTCCCCCCAAGGAGCCATTTCCAGCTGACACGACTGAGCTCACACCAAACCCTAGGTATTTTTTATGCCGTCAATTTATCTCTGAGTCATTATGATGCTTTTATATTTAGGCAGAAATCTAATAAATGTCTTTTATCTACGCAGCTGATGTCTATCTCTCTCTCTCTCTCTGGTTAAGTACACAACATTTGGAAAGCCTTTTCTTTGTCCAGAAAGCTACACAGAATTTTGGCCACAGAGATGTGTGAGTTGAGCTGAGGGCTTCTCATCACTCTTTCTGATATACTCAGAGGCAAAAGTCCCTCTCCTTCCTCAGGCAAATGAATAAAATCATAAAATTACAACAAAAAACCCCAAAAAAGTAGCCAAGTCAGACAAAACAACAATTAACAGTTTTGCTCATAAAACAAACCAAATATTTTTCAGATCAGACAAAATTCATGTTCCCCACCTCAAGATTTTGTAAAATACTGCGCTTCCGAGGGAGATTGCTAAAGCATTACTAGAGGCATTTCTCTGTAGTATTTCTAACCAAGGAGATTCAGAAACCCGGAAAAAAGGGTTCAGAAAAAAAGTAATAACATCCAAAATCCCAAGACCAAGCTCTACCCAAACTCTGGCCGATTGTGCATTTAAATTTCGCTTACCCACAGCGAAGAACTATTTTTAAGGTATGCGTATTACCAGTAGTTATAATACTCTGGACAGGCTGTAGTAACAATCTGCAGAAATTCTGCACAACCTATCTGTGGTGCAGATGGACTCGAATTAAACCCTCAGATCTAAACCCCATGACCAGAGCCTGGATCCAACCCCTATTTTGAATAACAAGGTGAACCAAAGGCTCAGACTTTCAGGGCTGAAACCTGGGGGTGGATTTGGTGGGTTTAGAGGCTTATCCTGAACATCTACTGCAACGAAAAAAAAATAATAAAATCAAAACATATTAAACTACAGCTTCAAAAGAAACAAGTCTTTCAGGAGAGGATAGTACGTGGGAATGGAGGTTGTTTTGGCAAGTGATGGCCTGTGACAAAGCCAAAGTCCTGTTACTCGTTCAACTGGTTTGTTGCTCGTGGTACTGCCCTCTCCAGAAACGTTCCCTGCCAGCCACAAGTAATTGTAAAATCTATTTCATGCGATGCTGTTGTGTGCATTTAAATATGACGTTGGCTTTTGTTCCTCACTCAAAAGCATCAGTACCTTCATCTAACTGTCTGAGATCTGATATTATATCTCCCCTATTTTTACTCTATTACAGTCTTTTATTCTATTTTGGGGTGGTTTCTGGATGCTTGGCTATGAAATTCCTTCCCCTCAGTCTTCAAAATTCTTCCTGAAAAATACCTCTCTGTATCTGGTACCTAGTTACTGCAATAATAGTCACCTTAGAAACATTATAAATACACAATTAAATAGGATTCTGTTCCAAAGTCCATTAACTCAGTAAAAATTTTTCCATTGACTTCAATGAGCTGTGGGATCAGGCCCGAAAAATACTTTAAATACATTTTTTTCCATCTATAGCCTGCTAATACAGAACATATTCCATTTTTTACATTTCTCCTCTAACATCCCTGCCCCGACTCCCTTGCCCTGAGACACACATCGCTACATTAAGACGTTCTTTCTTCCCACGCCAGTCTCCCGGGTGCCAGATTAAATCCCACCCCTGCTGCAATTCGGTTTAACGCTTATTTATTCCCCCTCCCGAAGCTTTCATCAGAAGGATGCGCTGGCTTAGTTGTTTGGTAAAAGTTTTTTTAAACTCTTTATCTACTTTCTGTTACCTGTCTGCGCAGAGGGATTCGCTTTGTCAGCTTATGGACAGCGGGCTGGCTGCTGAAATCGGGTTTCTTGGTGGTGTTCTTCATGCGACACAGGATGACCATCAGCACCATGCAGGCAATTAAGAAGACCCCTATGCAGTAAATTGCTATTTCCAGGTAGTCTGGTGACGTCGGATATTCTTTTTCTTTTTCAGGAGCTGGATTGGAAGTTTTTAGGAGGGAACAGTCATGCCACAGAGTTAGCACACGGTACAAGAATAGTGCAGTACAGCGCTTGGAACAACATGAAACGGTCAAATATCAGCAATTCTCGCAGTGACTGTGTGACATACGGAATACTGGGGATGTTCAGGACATCTTGCAATCTGCGAGTAATTCCTCTTTCTAGAGCACTGCTCTGACTTCTCAATTTGCCACTGAGTGAGCTTGTGCGTGTATACATATGCCTGCCTAGATAGGTAGATACATATACATTGAAATACTGGATGATCAAGCATAATTTTAGGGGAAAAGAAAAAACAAGTGTTCAAACTAGGCTCAGGTTCATTTTGTTGCCCAAGTCACACTTCATAAGCACTGTAAGTCTTTTTAACCGCATAAAGACACATCTAAAGGTCAAATACTGAATTATCTAGCCTAAAAGAAGTGTCTAAATTCACAAATAGACATTTGGGCTTGAGACTGTATTGACCGTTTATCCAAAATTTTCACTGGGATCTCAAAATACAGAGGGAAGGCAGGATGAATCCGTCCCTCATCACGTTTCTCAATTCAGGTTAGGGGTTTTGAGAGTGTTTCGAGGACCCGGCTGCCCAGCTGCTCAACTCGCTGCAGTTCACGCCGGGTGCCTAACTCCCCTGAGGTCCTTTGAAGAGCCCAGTGTCGGATTAAAAAGCATAACGCAAGCGAAAGCCGAATCACTAGCAATACGTTAATTAATGAGTCCTCTTTTGTGAGGACCGCATATTTCATGTAACCTCATCAGTGGTTACCAGTCTACGAGATTAGATTTTAGTGGGAGTGGCTCTACATAGCTGTTGCTCTGATTGAAACCATTTTGAAATTATCTTTGAGACAGTTTATATGTGCAAACACTGTCCCTAATCCCTTATCTGGGATTCAACCACCGGATAAACAGCATTCCACAGCAATCAGCGGTCACTCCGCAAGCAATGCACGTTCAAGCTGAAATTTTCTTGTGCCTCATTCTAGGCTCATAAAAATATTTCATTCAAGAAAAAAAAAAAATCGGTTAAAAAATGCCATTCAAGCACTTGCAAAATGCAAACACTGCTAGCAAAGCAAGCTCTACACAAGTACTGCTTTGCCTGTTGGTGACAGACCATGCAGGCTCGGTGTTCACCTACGAGTGAGATGCAATAAAGTTGCCTTGTTCAATATATTTTAATAAAGGGTAAAAAATTATCTGCAGAAAGCGGGAACATTTCACTCCCGTAATGTGAACCTCAGCAATATGCACATGCAGGTTTTGTACCTTTTACTTAGGATTACCAATTAATAAACAGTAAGCACAAGATGACCCAGCAAACCTCAGGTGGTTCATGTTTTTTTTCAAAGGAACTCCTAAGGCAGCTGCCAACAGTTATAAATGAGAAAATTTGACTAGTGTCAAAAACAACTACAATCTTCTAACAGCTGATAACAATTTTCAGGCAATAAAGCACATTGATGTTTGTTTCTTTTAAGGACAGAAACATCATCAACCCCAGAACAGCAAGACATGCTTTGCAGCAGAAGCAAATGACTACTTGTTTTCTTAGAGCATGCAATGTTTAAAGATGCACAGAGCCGATTCCCAAGACATGGAAGGCACTGCTTCTGTACACAATCCATTGGCATTAAAATTAGAATTTCCACAAGAGATTTGGATGATAGGCAAAAGTGAATTTAAGCACACTGAATAGCTCAGGTATTTTAATGAACCAGTACATGACTGCGGCCAAATCAGTCCCAAAGCTTCATAAGAAACTTTGAATTTCTTCCTCTTGAAAAAGTTTACAATGATTAATGTGCTGATTTTCAGTCATCTCACTGAAGCACTAAGGAAATGCAGCTCCTTAGCATCTCAGATGAGCTTTTAACAGATGTAAAAATATTTCAATTGAATGCAATAGCCATTCTTCTCCCCCCTCCTTTTTTGTTGTTGTTAGGTTTTTGGAGTGGCAAATATGTAGCAAGACAATTCATCGGCTTGAGACAACTGTGTTTAAAATAAAAAAAAAAATCATTGTAAAAGTCCTTTTCTGAGACAGAAGCTGTGCTAATTCTGCAGCAATCAACAAGGGGAGGAAAAAAAAAAAAGAGGAAAAACCACGGAAAGAGAGCAGTGTATACCTGGCAGAACTGTCAACCATGCAGTGTGAAAGGATATCCCAATAGAATTACCCGCCAAGCATGTATACTCCCCAGCATCCTCAAAAGTTACATTCCGTATATAGAGAACCTCAATTTCTTTGTCCGTGGTGTTAACACCGGCAGCCTAAAAAAAAAACAAAAGAGGGAAGCAAGAGAAAAAGCTAGACACTGAGAGAATTCTTGTGGATAGGGAGATGGAGCCACAGGGCTTTGCACTTTGTGAAGGCAGAGGTGTAGAGATGCAAAGCTCCTTCCCCATCCACAATCCCTCATCCAAAAGGCGTTTACCAACAGGTCCCAGCTCACCTCAGAAAGTAATCAACACCCTTCACCAGAACCTAAACTCACCACCTAAACATGCATGCAATCAAATGACATGGAAAAATTAACCCACAAAGTTGTTTTTTTTTTCTCCTTCTTCTTCTTCTTCAGTAAAAGAAAGTTGAAAGAAAAACAAAGAGAGAAAGTAGGACAGAATGCAGGCTCCTTCACATGTAGTTACCTGTTTCACAGGAAAGAATTTACTACAAAAATACACTCTGAAAGGATAAAAAAAAAAAAAGGCAAATTCTGTTTCAAAAGACAGAACTTAGTAGCTGTCTTAAGTAGTGTATGGTCCTTGCATCATCCACTGCACTACACTTAAATATTGTACGTTGTGCAGTGTTGCCAAATCTCAGTGTAATCTGAGGTCTGGTAATAGTGGGTGGTTTGCTTAGAAGCACAGCGGAGACAGTAGGAAGGTAGAGCAGGTCTTGTTCAAAAAAGATCAGTCATGGCTCTCATGGATGTGGAGAAAAACTGGACCCCAAAGGTTCAACAACCAGGAGATGGAAATAAAATATATTTTTCTAATCTTAGAGAGTTTAAAAAAATACTAATAATCTGGAAGGTTTTTTTCTGGTCTCCTTCTGGACTTGCTAAATCTGGGGCTTGATGAGTCATTACGCACCAAACCAATCAGTGTATCAGTGATTATCCAAACTCGTGCAAACAGAGTAAATCTCAGCCCCGGAGCTTTCCAGCTGCCCCAAGGCGGACACAGCAGGGCACCAGTGTCAAGGGCTCTGTGATGGAGAGTTAGAGAAACTGTTGTCTGCTGCTTTTTGTCTCCATTCCATTCAATATGTTACTTTGAAATACATGCTGAGGGAATAAACACATTCTTGCCAGACCATCATAAAGTAAATTTAGTGGTGAGTTGCAGTCGCGTTGTTGCCTGGGTTATTACCAGGGTTACTGTTGGGTTATTACCCAGCTAATAACGGGTGAATAACAACTGGAAAACCCTCCCACCCTGCACAGTCGCAGGTGACACGGGAAGTTTTAAGTGACTGAACTGACCTGACTTACGCTTCAGGGGGTACTTAAGTGAACATTTCATATATATATACACATACATATGTATATATAGAAATATACACTAATTAGGTCATAATTACATTATTCAACGAGTACCCTGTACGTGAACTGCAAAGTACGCAGAATTAACAACAAAGCTGGACGTAAACACACAGACACAAAGACACCAAACACAAGAGAGAATAAAGATCAGCATCGGAAACCAGTGCTTACGGTACACACAGAATATTGTGGGAATTTTTCCATGGCTGCTGGTGTAATACCAGTTGCATCACCGAAGGAGGATTACACGTATACCACAAGGCCAAAGAGTTATCCTACAAGCTGCCTGCAGTCTCCCAAAGCACCGTTTTTTTCCAGCTTCTACATCCAGCTTGCTTTAAAAAACATTGTTACCTTGTATACTTGGCAGAACAGAGAGCCAGGCAGACTGGTTGGCCTCCCCTATATAATTGGAGACCTTACAAATATATTCTCCAGCGTCCGCCTCTGTCACATTGTACAGTGTCAGCACTTCAGCATTGGAACTATTTATCCCCGAATGCTAGAATAGACCAATAACACAGGAGAACAACGTCACTGCTGCCCAAAACGGACACCGATCTGTCTATGGTCCCACCACCAACACATAAGAACACACCTTCCACTTCATGCAGCGTCAAAACATTGAGGGTTTGAGGGTTGTTTGGGGGTTTGGTTGTTGTTTGGTTTTGGTTTGGGGGGTTTTTTTGGGTTTGTTTTGGGTTTTTTTTTTTTTCAATTCGAAGCATCACAGAGGAGTTAGAAAACAGCGGCATTGGGGGGGGAAAAAAAGCACCTGGGCTGGTCCACCAGCTGCGTGGAACAAGATGGCATAGAGCTGGCTGTCCTGCCTGCCAACACGCTGAGCTTTGGCAATGCCACCCAGCTCAGAAAACTTTGGAGCTTCTTTGGTCAGGCTTGCTGGCAACACCCGGCGGCAGGAAGGACACCTCCAGTACGCCGCAGCACGCCAGCGAGAAATGGACATCTCTGCAGGCTCAGCATCCAGAAAACCCAATCCTGCCAACAAGCTTTTGGCAGCAGGTGCCATTTTGCTTTGAAACAAAGAGGCTGAAGAAACGTGAAAGAAACGGAGTCTCCCGGGTACGTTTTGGACACGCTCTACCAAAACGTAAAATGTCAATGATGTTCTTTAAGAGGGTTTTTGGTTTTTTCTGAATAAGTCAAGCCTGAAGCATTCAGAGATAAAGGACTTCACGGAAGTACAAAAAAGAGCAAAAGTGTCTATAAGCTGCACAATTAGCATTTAGACTATCAAATGTTTATCTAACTCATTATTTCATTTGTGACAAACACTTCCATTTTCAAAAGAAGCTCAGATCTCAAAATTCTTGGATTTACATCAAATAAATTCAATGCTTTAAAGACGTCGTCACCATCGCTGGCATCTGCAAAGCCTCACCTTTAAAACCTGAAGATACGGCAGTCCATCTGGTCCGTATTTACTGCCATTCTTCTCTACGTGTTTTATCCACTGAATATGAGGTTGAGCATCACTGTAGACTTTGCAGACAAACTCGACGTCACCTCCAACGACTGCAGAGGCATTTGCTGGCAGGCCAGCCTGGAGGATGGGTCTGTGCGGTGATCGCTCTGTTCGGATGGGGAGGGGGAACAAGAACGAGCAAGAGAAAGAGAGAGAGAGAGAGAGAGAGAGAGAGATAAAGATGCATAAATAAGCAGAGCTGCCAAGAAAACTGTAAGTGAACTCCAGCCAAAAAGCCCTGTAAGCCTGTTGGCTGACTCCTCCGAAATAACACTGCAGCCAAAACGTATAACAAAAACTACAGTTCAAAGGAGATGACTTGAGCACTACACTTGTAATATAAAGAACAGCTAGGGGGGGGGGGGGAGGGAGAACCCGTGCTTAAAAACTTGAAGCATTTTGCATAGTTGAACTCAGCAAGAATCAAGTAAAACATCTTTTTTTTTTTTTTTGGCGTTATTGCAATAAGTACGTCTGAGTTTTGAAACATTCTAATTGGGCTAAAACTCCACAAACTAGGGGGAAAAAAAGATTATTGCTTAATTTAAAAAACTGATTAATGTATTAAACCAAAGGGAAGTTCTCAAAACTAGCAGCAGAAGCCTCACCACTGAAACTCCTCATGCAGGATGCACATACCAGGCAGCTCGACTTTTCAAAATGCTCCGACCAGTACTACCACGGTAACTGGGCCCTACTTTACCCAGACACAGCAGCTGAAATACCAGTTCCTCCTTATTCTGAGCAGGACACGGGGAAACAGAGAGTTCCCTGAAAAACTGCAGCGTACTTAACGTGAGCCAATAGAGCTTTTAACCTATGGACCTGCTTACGCGTTTATCAAATGTTCTTGGTCAAGCTCACCTCACTGAACACACGGAGTGCACCCTGTACCATCCGCATATCTGGAAAGCCACTACAGCCAAGGTTCCCAGCCCAATTTTGTGGATGCTTTGGGTAAAGCTAGGACAGCAAGGCAGCTTTCCATCACCCTCACTAAGCCGGACTTAAAAGCCACTAAAATCTTCTGGGCGGTGGGCAGGGCACAAACCCCCAGCCTCCAAGCCACCAACAGCCTTTTTTTGCTGGACAAAGCAAGTGGGCAAAGCACAAAAACTTTTCTCCTGTGTGATGTTTGAAAGTCCTCTAAATGACAGCCCTGGTGACCAAATTTATTTATCATCCAGCGAGCGGGATGGACACTGCCACCCCCCCCCGAAAACCTTCAGAGAGCTGCAGTTTCATCAGCCTAGCTGGGACCTCACCACTTTCTTCATGCAAACTTAACTCTGCAAACTTAACTCATGCAAACATGTTTCTTTTTATAAAAAAGTAAATACTGACCTACACATCCCTTCAACCTAGGAATTAGAAGCGAAACGCCCATTTGCCCAGCCCCAGCCCCTTCTCCCCAGCTCCAGGAATTCTTTCGAAGATAAGTAAAAAACAGTGGACCTAAATATTTATTTCTAGAGGCTGTACACTGTAAAACCTTTGACATTACAAGCCAAATCAACTGAATTTCAAATCAAGCGTTCCTTCTTAAACACACTCATTTCCAATAAACTGTTTCACAAGCAAACATTGCGAGTGTAATAGCAAATAATGATGCCCATGGAACAATGGGATCTTTTATACGGTCCAATATATTTGGCATGCGGCAAACATCTACTGGGAATTTATTCACTGAGGCTACGCTGGCAGCATACTACAAAGCAGCAGTCTTACTTTACTTGTGGCAAAAGTGCATTTATGTTGCAGTTACTAAATTATTCCATGGCTATGTGTGTCATTTTCAAAGATCTAGGAACAGTTTAATATTTTTTAATTTGTAAATTACAGTAGAACATATAAATTACTATTTTACAGTTCTGGAGAGAACTTTTAGTTTCTCACCTTATACTAAATAAGCTCTAATTCCATCTCCCTCGCTCCTTTATTTGGGTACAAAAGCAGCAAGCAAAAATCTCTCTTTAATAGAAACCTTACACCATCTTCTAAAACTTATTACAGCTGCCTTCAGTATAAAATGAAACCTTAGAGAATGTTATTTAAAATGTTTTTTAGAAGTCAGTAGGCCTCATGTTTCATTTCTCCACATCAGGGTTTGATTTCCTTTGTGACCTTACTCTCTGCCCTTAAACAAACCAGAGAATGAGGCCTGAAACATCTTGGAAAAGTTCCTACTATGCCAGCATCAACACACGAAATGTGTTTAGTTTATCCCGATAGCCATCAATGATTTAATCTTTTATTGATGACTGTCAAATGTTTCCTCTACCAAAAAAACAGGAGGCAAAGCAAAGAAGTATAGCAAAGTTCTTACATTCTTGGTCGCAAATTCCTTTAAAAAACATTAAAGTGTGTGCATATGTCTAGGTAAGACATTTGTGAAATTTCTTCTCTAAGGGTAAATGTGTTAAAAACAAACTTTAGGTGCCCTCCGACATACGGAGCAACGATTAGTGCTTGGCAAGTCCCCCATTCAGCAGAAGGGAGTATATTCCTATGCCCACACAGGCAAACCACCCAGAGGAACGTAACCAGCATGATGCAAATACAGTGGCGTTTCATGACGATCCTGGAGTCCCAGGACCACAGGAAACACACTCAGTATTGGGGAAAATAACTAAATATGGAGAAACTTCCTAATTACAAATGACCAAGTATATATAACACTGTATCATTGGTTGGAAATAGTCATTTCAGGATGCTATTCTGTCTTTCCAATTTCTCTGCAGACCACACACACCTAAGGGCTCTGCTTAAGCATAGCTACTGTCAAAACCACGTTCATAAATCTCACGTCGCTATTTCATGTTTAAAATACAAGCCTTCCATTTGTAAGCAGAAATCATCACTCAAAACAACTGGCTACGCTAACATTAGATGGCAAAGGTGTGGGTTTTTTTTACTAAAGACTAGCAAAAAGAGTCAAAGTTGCCTTTAAAAAAAAAATCTTAAAGGCTGGCAAAACTAACATTGTCATTAGCCTTACGTAACCTAATAATTATCATCAGGATCATCACCAAACTATAATATACATAAACAATGCTAGGTATTTAACTCAGACAAACAGTATTTTCATACAAAACAAGTTGGCAACCAATCTCATAGCTCCGCAGCCCTACTGATTTCAATATTCCCCTTACTCATTAATATTGAATTGTATCAGAATTTCAAAAATTAAGTCTTTACTATTTGAACACTGAAATTTTAGTGTTTCACTCTCACTGCTAACACATGTTTCAAAACCAAGTCAACCGTATATGCTAAAATACAGAAAATCAACCCATGGAGAAGCTGTCTTCGAGCATACTAAACACTACATCATAAGGACCATAAAAAGTGGTTGATATTAATTTTATCACCATAAATATTAGTTACTTAGTGAACTACATACAGGTCTACAAGGTTTTTCATAGATATGCCCTGCTTTCTTTAACAGACCTTCTTGGTTCAACCAAAGTGTAATAGATGTTTAAAGCAAATGTAATAGATGTTTTAAAATTTTTAAAGTTGAAAAATATTTTCTGTATATTGATCTGAAAGTAATTGAGCCAAACCAACAATTACGTGTAAGTCTCCATATGTTACATTTCATTCTAGTTCTTCCCAAAATCTAGCTTTGTAATACTTTTTAAAAAGAAAGCATGCCTAATTCTGGGTCCCACCTTAAGGGACAGACACCAGCTTGCTTTCTCCAACTTGCAATTTAGATACAAAATCAACATCATCCCCATTCGAGGAGTCAATTATCTACAAAAGGCAGAGTGAAAAGGATTGCTCACGTAAGGAATATCATATTCAAGGCTACAAGCATCTAAATTTTACACCACCATAAAAGTGCCCAGGGCTTGAGCATTTCTGCTCAGAATTGCTTGAGCAATTCTGTTTGCTTATCTATAGATAAACAGACTTGCTATCTGAAAAGACACTGACAAAGAGACCTGCCCAATGGCTCAGAAGAAACTGTCATTTAGCTTGTTAATGTTAAAACTTCAGAATACCTTCCCCCAAGAGAGAAAATTGCAAAGAATCCAGGATAGCTGTAAAATTCCAAGTTTCTGAAAAACTGACCCAACAGGAGGAGGTGTCCAGGAAGCTCCCAGCCCTGCAGGGCACCTGGAGATAGGTGGGAGCCCATCCTCCCACTGGTGATGGAGGGAGAAATGACTGGAAGAACTATCCTGGAAATGACTACTGGAGCCAGCACACTTCACAAGGGGTCCTGAGAACCGGCTCTTTAAGAAGTTGAAGTCCCTGGACAGGTGGTTCCTACAAAAGGGCCCCATCTCTCTCCCATCCTTGGCTTTATCTCCTCCAATTATTTTTTTTTTTTTGCTGACCAGCCGCAGTCAAACCAGAGGGAAATCAGAGAGGAGAGAGACAGGAAAGTCATGATGCAAACGTATGAGGTGAAGACGCTGGGGTACGGAGGTGGGTGTTAGTGGCCAAAACCTGTTTCACAGCCAACAGAGCTCAGAAGATGCAATCCCACCACTCCGGTCCTAGCACAGGGGTGTGCAGGGATGGAAAAACTGTGGGAAGAGAGGCTGCTCGCCGAGCATGCCAGCGGAGGGAAGATGTAGGGCAGGATCTGCTGTTGCCAGAGGCCGAAGTGGAGCATATTGTGACTGAAAGAGTGGCTCTGCTGCTACCGGAGGGCCTTGGCAGGGAGAGGAGACAATAACCCCGGAAGGGGTGAGCTCCGGGCACATCCCCAGGCCAAGTCTCCTTAGCAACCTGGCTGTGCCAGGGGCTGAGAAGAGCTCTGGTAATTGTCTACCCAAGCCTCCTCGTCACCCTAGCACAGACAGTTCAGGACCTTTCATGGGAGCTAAAAGCCAGAACCAAAGCCCATTGAAGTCAGGGGAAAAACTCACATGGAATTCAATGGGCTTTGGATAAGGCATTTGATTCATTTAAAAAAAAAAATGAAAACTACTCTTATTTTGTCCTTTTGAATGTGCTTGTTTCCTCTCCTTGCAAATGTGTGATTCAAGTGCAGCCTAGGAAAATAAAAGCTGAATAGCAAATGCAAGACCAAACATGATGGAGATGCTCAACAAATGGGGGCTGAGGTGGGCACAGGTTATCTAATTCT